TGCTGTTATTCTCACTTAAGATGAAGGCTTACAGGACAAAATAGTCTCCCATTTAACAGTTACTACAAATGTTGCCCTATGACAATGGTTAACAAATAATGCAACTTTTAAATACAACTTCAGTTAATACGGGGCCAACATCGTTTGTGTTTGGTGGTTCCTAATACAGAATTTAAAGAGCATCATAATGTCTTATTTTTTCAAGTGTTAAGTGTTTTTATTTAAAAAATATTGGCTATAATTGTAAATATCTTTTAATCCTAGAATCAGACGGAGGATAGTTTACGGAAGGAGCTTATAGCGTTACAGGAGGATAAACATAACTACGAGACGACAGCCAAAGAGTCCCTGAGGCGGGTTCTTCAGGAGAAAATTGAAGTTGTTAGAAAACTTTCAGAAGTTGAGGTATTTTAACTTTAAAAATATTAGACATGTGACTTCTGGTATCTATGGCCCCTGGTTGGTGATTGAGGAAGTAAAACCCTAATCAGAAAACCTTAGTATTTTTATTCTGTTTAGATTCAGCCACCGTACAATGAACTATGGTTTGTGCCAGGGTGTTGATCACCTGTCACCTAGTTTTGCTTTTCAGAAAGTCAAGGATGGTGGTTGTAGGCTACGAACCTACATAACATGCTGTTACTTTACTCATCTTCCAGAGAGGAAAACTAACTCTGTCTTAACTTTGGATATTCAAAGGGAAGATTATCTCTGAGGTCCTTTCTAGGTTTTTGAGGCACAATCGAAGTGTGATTATCATTGCTTAAAAAAAAAAACTAATTCATAATACAACTCATTCCTTCTAACAACTGAAAAATTACCACAGAAGTTATTTGTTACTGGACTTGGTTAAAATGCCCATTGTAAACTAGTTTCTTTACCTACCGCATCCCATGGTGCCTGATTCACTGTCATGTCATTAATTTGACATGTAAGGAAAGAAAGTTGATAGCTGTCTTCTAATTTTCTTATTAAATTAATCGCCATGTATTATTAACCCAGCTTTCAACAATTAATAGGCTTAAAATATTTTCAAGGCTAACAGTCACACATGGTCGGCCTTTTAAAAGTGTAACTACACAAGAGCTATCCTCTCTTCCTCATGCTCTTCTCCCCCCCTCATTTCCCCAAATTCTTGGTTTGATGTTCTGTTTTAGTGTGTACATTAAGTAAACAGAAATCCTTATGTTATTTAACTGAGCCTTATATGAAGTCCAGAGAAAATGTTGATTTAGAACGGCTCATATAGTTATACTTTTTATAAATTGAATTTAGAATGTACATTTATTCTAAATAAATCACCCGTAAACTTGAATTGCAGCGAAGTTTGAGTAATACTGAAGATGAATGTACCCACTTGAAAGAAATGAATGAACGGACTCAGGAAGAATTAAGAGAATTAGCCAATAAATATAATGGAGCAGTTAATGAAATTAAAGATTTATCTGATAAATTAAAGGTATGTATAAGTTGAAGGTATCTTAAGCTTCTTGTCCCTAACAGACTGGTCAGTTGGAGAGTTTAGGTGTTGCTGAATCGTTGTTGGTATAAAATTTGGTAATGCTTGAGATTTATAGTAAAAATAAGGTGCTTATATTTCGTTTAGCCTAACCCACATTACCATAAAAATCTACAAATTGAAAATATGTAAAAGCTAGCATATTTCCTTTGGATGGAAATGTAGTCAGTACTTCACAATAGGCAACTTCTAATGTATAACTGGAAATAGGCAAGAATCAGCATAACCCAAGATAATCAGTTTCTGTTTTTTTTTAAATCCTGAAACTGCTCATCTTTAGGCAGTTCCAAAGGCAGTGCCCATATGTTAGTGCTGGAACATACGGAGAGATCATCGCTGTTTGAACCCTTCTGGCCTTCAGAGATGCTATTGACTCTATGTCAGGTGCCACTCCCTGTAGCTTTGGGACATTTAGACAGACTAGACCATAGAGTAATGTCAGATTGATCCTTTCAGATCTTATAACTGGGTTTGTGAAGGTCCATCTTTATAAAATTCGAACCGTGGATTGAGTGCCTGAAAGATGTATGCATTTGTTAGAGGAGACCAGAGCATACCTCCCTCTGTGAGGTTGGTTAATCTATGATAGTTTTTAAAATTGGTCTTGTTAAAAGGAGGTCTTTTTGAAAAGTGCTTGGGACCATCACCCCTTTAGCTAAACATAATTTTGTGTAAAATTTCAAAATACGTGACATTTTATAACTCAGAAGCAAATGGAAACAATAGTAATTTTAGGAGAAAATCTTATTTCCATCTTGAAAAATATAGAGTTTTTCACTTTGACCATTTATCTCTATGCATATTCAGTCTGCTTGCTTGCTCCAAGTTTTTCTTCTCCTAGGTGATATGAATGTGAGAGCCCAGTGCTGATCACTTTTGACATCAAGCCTTTGTCTTTATCTTCTTTGCCAGTTTAAAAAAATAGCTTCACAAATAATGTTCTATAATATTAAATACCCTCCGTAGAGGTTTAAGTGAATGAAGGCTGTCCTGGCTTAAAGGTCAGGTTTTATTAATAAGTGAATTTTCTTTTTCTTTTTCAACAAAAACAGGTAGCAGAGGGGAAACAAGAGGAAATCCAACAGAAGGGACAAGCTGAGAAAAAAGAATTACAACATAAAATAGATGAAATGGAAGAAAAAGAACAGGAGCTCCAGGCAAAAATAGAAGCTTTGCAAGCTGATAATGATTTCACCAATGAAAGGCTAACAGCTTTACAAGGTAAGTTAGCTAACCCAGAAATTGGTTTGATTTGATTTTTTTTCTTTTTATCTGTGAAATATCTTTTTCTTGGACTTTTATTTACAGTACGGTTAGAACATCTTCAGGAGAAAACTCTTAAAGAATGCAGCAGCTTAGGTAGGTGTCCTCCAGATTTCTTATTTATAGCTGAATTTTATCATTAAACTTGTGACCTTGTTTAGTGTCTCACATTGGGTATTTATTTTCTTTAAGAGAGATGCTTTACTTGTTAGGTATAAAGTACCTACATTCTTTCAGAAAAATAATTTTTTTAAAATATGCTTGGTTGCCACCAGTGGGCACCATTGTTTAGTGCTTGACATGACTGAGCTGTCTGATCTGACACGTTCTACTTAGAGATATTTAAATAAGACAAATACATAAACAACAGGATCCTTTTTCTTTTGAGGTTCATTGGAAGGTTACTAAGCAACTGTTACCTTTTCTCTGATTTGATAGGAAGTGGCAAGTTGAACCCTCTTTGTAAAAATAAATTTAAATCGTTCTACACAACCTTAAGTAGGAATACAAAATGCCATGATTACAATTGAGAACAGTTTTAAAGTAATACTTTCTTTGATCAGGCAATGATACACTGTCTTAATCCTAGGGATACAAGTCGATGACTTCTTACCTAAAATAAATGGAAGCACAGAAAAAGGTAGTGTAAAAAGCTTAAATATTTTTCTTTCATAATGTCCTTTTACTATTTAAACAGGATAGAGAGGTCAGGGTTTTAAGTGTTTAGAATGAAAAGCATGGTATTCGCAGACCACTGAATCTTGTCTTTTAAAATCAAGCTTCCCTTTATTTTGTAAGATTTAATGCTATAATCTATTTTTGGATATCCTTTGTTATATGGAAATTTCACTTACTCAAATAATAAGAAAATTACAAATTTTAACATTAGCATTGATCTATATAACGTAGAGGTTTTTTCTTCCCCAATATGTATTTCAAAGAACTGTGCCACCTTGTTCCATCAAGCTCTGCTTCCTGGGAATAACTGATCCCCATTTTAATGTTTGTGCTCTCTCCCTCTTCCACCCCCGCAAGAGTTTCCTTAACAGCCAGTTGAGCCCTTGGACCTGTCGTAGAGACTACTTTCTTTATCCATGTGTTTCATCAGTCAGAGGGACAGAACCAGTCATCTCTGCCACCAGAAAAAATCCTTTATTAGTTTTTGGTTCTGTGACTCTTCTTTCTGGATTGCTTGGGGTTCTCTCTTGCCAAAAACTTATATCTACTACTGGTTTTCCTACTACTGTATAGAGTACTATTTACCCAATGACTTCTATATTTCTTCAGTCATGATAATCGCTGTTCATCCCCCTTCCCCAGCATCAACTGTGTGCTGGATCCTGCACTGGATGCTTAGAGGTCAAAATGAATAAAACTATTTTCTGTGTTTATAAATTGTATGCATTTTGTTTCAGTTTTTATATAGAAGTTAGTAGAAGATATTACAGTTGATACCCAGAACTTCCTATTAAATATTTTTTCCATATATCAGGGGATATCTTTATAGTCCTTGGCAGCAGCCAAACTGATACAATTAGGAGACTTTTTTGTTTGTTTTGTTTTTAATCAAGAACTGGCAAAATAGGCTAAAGTAATTATTATGTGTGAGTTTAAACGTCAAGACCAAATATTGCTTATATAAGGAATTTAGAAACTCTCAATTAAGAAAAAAGTTTCATTAATCATTTGACTACTTTATGTATCTTTTGTAAAATGCATCAAGTTTAGAAATTCCAATTTGAATGAGTTTCAATTTGAGAATTTTTAAAGGTGTGGTTTATATTCATTGCACCAAAATTACTAATTGCTCTTCATTAAGTATATTTAGCAAACCCATGTAGAATGATTTATTCCTCATCTTCTGAAAGCTTGTCATCCTTTAAAGAATTTATATTTCCAGTTATCATTATTTTGCTTGTTTTTCTTTCTCTGGCATGCAGACTTCTTATTCAAATTCATCACCCTCTTAACCTGAGCATGTATATATTAATAATATTAGTGTTAATCCAGCTGGGAACCTTGTAGTCCTTCACTTAAGAGAATCCTTTTATGTACGCTGAGCCATCTTTATACTCTTTAGAGTTGTCAAATTACCGTTTTGAATTTTTGCCATTTCCAATGGATTTAGATGACAATAGTTGTAGATAACTCTTTGATTTAAGATTTAAAAAGATATTTTAAGGTAACTCCTTGTTACACTTGTCATTCCTTTGCTAGTTTGTTTATTTTTTGGCAGTAATAAATTGAGTACTGTGAGACTGACTAATAGAATATTTTTAAAGAAACTGAGTAGTAAATTTCTGAATATACACGAGAACTTTGTTATACCAGATTTAGTTACAGAGTAGATTTTGAAATAAGATGATTCTTTTCTGAATCACTTATAATAATGAACCAACTGTCAAATATTCCACTACTACCAAAATCCATAGCCAGGATTTACTGTTAGATAGGGTTTTAACTAAAATTACTCTTTAAAATAGTAGAGAGAGAGAGCACCAAGTAGAGTTGTAAGAGAATATTTAAAAATGTCTGGAGATGTTACTATTATTTCTCCAGTGAACCCCATTTTTGAAATTAAATTTACAGTAGTTGCTATAAGCACAAGTTTTTGTACTATAAATTTTTTTGTATCTTATCTAATATGATTTGAATATACCTTAGAAAGTATAAAATAGCACTATCCAATAGAAATATGAGAGTCATATATGTAATTTTAAATTTTCTGGTAGCCACATTAAAAATTGTGAAAACAGACAGGTGAAATGAATTTTAATAATATATTTTATTTAACCCACTGTGTCAAATATTATCATTTCAGTGTGTCATCAATATTAAAAAAATTCTTAATGAAATATTTCACATTCTTTTTCTTCAGGAAGTCTTTGAAATCCAGAATATATATTACACTTACAGCATGTCTCAATTTGAACTAGCCACATTTTGAGGGATCAGTAGCCACATATGGCTAATAGCTACCATATTGGACAGCACAGATATAGAAAATCAAAATCCATAGGAAACTCATATATAAGTAAAACACATTTTAAGTAGCATACATCTTTATTTGTTTTATGTTTCTGTAGTGGTCTTTTTCTTTACATTCCTACAACCCTATTTGGTATCAGAGACCCCCTCCCTCTAGTAAGTATCTGATTCCTTTTGCATTATCAGTGGTATCTTTCGTATTTTTGGCAAAGTGAATTCCCAGGTGCCTAAATTAAAGTGATAAAGTGTTAAAAAAGTATCATGAACAAGACCCTTTACATATATTATCTGAAAGACTTTTCTCTCATGTGTTTAGGAAATGCTTTTTTAGAAACCAAATATATGTTTATCTTTTAATATTGATTTTAGATTTTATCTAAACTAGTGTAGTAAATATTTTAATGTAAAGTTCTAGTATTAAAATCAGAGTAGATGAAAGGGTGTCTTTAGCTTGGTGAGTGATGGTGGGATGTCCTGCTTTAATAAATGTCATCTAGACTCCTTTGGTGTCGGTCTGAAATTTGGTTTCAAGTAAGTTTTGTAAAACCCTATGGGTAGGTTAAAATTTGGTTTCAAATGAGTTTTCATATTTAACAGTAATGTTATGTAGTTTGAGTTCTGAAAATATTATGGCTTATATAACATGTAAAATAACTGTTTATTTTTGTGATTAATGTTCTACTGAGAGTTCCTGTTTTGGTTTTCTTGGCTCCAATTGGCAAATTCTATTTGTTAGATTTTTTTAAATTTCGAATTTCTGTTACCCTTAGATTTTATCTTTCTTATTTTGGGGGCTATGTTCTATTTCTATATGATAATTCTAAGTATGTAATGCATTGGTCTCTCCAAACACGAGTTGTATCGAACTTTTTCTCCCCATGTTTTTGTCCTGTACCAATGGTGGCTGTGGACTGGGGACCCTACGCATCATGTAACTAGATAGAGCATAAGAGTAGATTTGAATCTGAGGTTAAAAGAAGGCTGACAGAAACGATGTCAAAAGAGGCTGAGGAGCGACCAGAGTACCATGTGCTGCCTCTTATGCAAAGCTGATGCAGAGATGCTTAGAAGTGGGGTTGGTGAGATGAGGAGAGAAGGAGGCTTCCCCATCAGAGTGGTGCTAAATCAAGTGTGCTCTTTGACAGGTTTAGTGCTTTCACACCTTCTAGATAGTCCTCATGTTGGAATATATTTTTAAGACTCGAATTTCCAAAGTCTGTTTGTTAGTTTTGAAAGATACAAATATATAATTGAAGTTAATTCTAGAATCAAAGTAAATAAATTCTAATAAATCAATTCTAGATTCGGAAGTTAATTCTTTGAATCAAAGTAAATAAAGATTATTATTGCAAGAAAAGGGCTGAAACTTTCATTAAACCACAACATTATATTTTGATTGTCCCCATCCATTTTTAAAACAAACCAAATTCTGTTTGATCTGAGCAAAACCATGTTTTGAGCTCTTATTTAAAAATGTTCAGGCATTGATTTTGATCATTTGGACAAAGCTAAACGTGTAATGTTTTGACAGTATATGAAGTTTAGATTAAGTGACTCAGAAAGGAAGGTTATTGGTGAAGTAAAACTGTACAAATTAAAATATTGCATCAGTTTCTTAAAAATTTTAAGGCATTGCTTAGGGTATTCTTAAAGTATTTACCTTTTACCTCTTAACTGAGATGAATAGCTTTGAAGAGGAACTGTCAGAGAACAGGTACTTGAAAATCAATTCAGTAATAACAAGTATAAATTTTAAAATTATTTGAGGGTATTTGTTAAGCTGTCATGGAGAAAGGTAGATTTTAAAAGTGAAGCTTTTAAAGCAGTATATATATGGTTTTCTTGAGCTCTTTGGATAAAAACTGCACCTTTAAAAGCTAACCATTAGGATACAACTTAATGATTTTCAAATTAATTACATTTTTAGTCATTTAACTTTATTTAGCTCTAAAATATGTCTGCTGTTAGTTTTAAATAAAATATACTCAATTTTTATTAGTCTTACTAAAAGTTGCCTATGTAAATACATTTCCTACCTTTGCTGTTGGTTTATCAAAGACAGCAACAAACTATATCCTTAAAGGTGTTTCTTTCTTTATTAGAGCACTTGCTTTCAAAGAGTGGCGGGGACTGCACTTTTATTCATCAGTTCATAGAGTGCCAGAGTGAGTACAGAGTATTTTTCACATTGATTTTAATGAAGTTAGGGCCTAAAACTAAAAAATGAGGGCCTTGATGTGTTTGTTATAGTAGATGTGCCTAAAGGGCCATCTTCAGATAGCAGTGAACCTTTTTATACTATTTCTGTGTATCTCTTTTGAGAAAAATATTTCTGTTGCATTTGCCTTCACATATGGAGCTACTAGCATTTCGTATTTGCCACAGATTGAAAAAGAGAGGAAGTTTCAAGCTTATTTATTAAAAATCGTTACTGAGCAGGGCATAAAGGAGAATGTTAAACACCTGAACTTTCTGTGTGGATACCTAGAGAAGAGATGGTAATACTATTAACCTGTTTTAAGTTCTAGTGCTATTACAGAGTTGGTGTTTGAGATTTTAAAATAAATTTCTTAAATTAAATGATCAAATAAAGTCATAAAAATAATTATGTAGTTTGGACACTCAGTTCTGAAAATGGCCCTGAGGATGACAGGAGCTTTCTGGGGAAGGAGTAGCAATAGGTTGTCTTACAGTCTGACAGAAGCTGCCTGCCCTGGAGAGTTGTATACAGCTGTCTTTAAGAATATTTTCAAGATACCTAAATAGGTTGGCTTTTGAGGTTATTCAGACCTCTGCTCAACTCTAAACAAAAGTATCCTGAGTTCCCTTTTACTTGAAAATCACGTAGCTGCTCAAATCTCTAACAGTCATGGGAGTGTAGTATCTCCTGGTCTTGCTGGTAACAGCTCACGGTCCACGTGCATAGTAAAGGTTTGTTGATGCTGTCTATACTTTTTCCTGTCAGACATTTTTTCAGGGATTTTTCTCCTTCTGTTTGCTACCTTTTTGAAATGAGTAGTTTTCCAAGTTATTATGCTTATTAACTAGTTTTGTGGGTGTTCACACGTGTGTTCCATGCCCATCCCTCCACCCCCCTTCCCCAAGAGCACATCCAGCCCTTGGGGCTTGTAAGGGTCACACCTGCAAATTAGAGCAGACACAAATTCAACAGAGCAAATGGAAACTTGGAATTCCATTAACAGTTTTACAAGAGCTTCTGTTTTTGTCTGTCTTAGATACTATAATATTACTTTAAGGCAATTTATTTAATAAATATGGTATATTTATGTGTCCTTTTAAAAATATTCATATAGCAAAGATTAGCGTATTTTTTTTTTTATTATCTTCTGATTACCAAGTCTCTCTTTTATGGGAAATTGGCATAGGGATTTGGGGCAAAATAATCAATATCCACTGAAATAACTTAAAGTAGAATATACAATCTAAAATAAAAATCTTCAGAAGGATTGTATGCTTACTTGTATTACATGTGATCATTTCTTTCATAAGTTATTTATATTTTTGAATTTTTGGGATTAATATTTCGGGCTCAAAGAAATAAGAACAGAGATTTTACCAAAAGAGTGTTTTACTGAGTTGCAATTTGTAAAAATCCTTCCTTTAGTTTGTTATTACTTCCTTAAAAAAAAAAAGCTTTAAAAATTTTAATGTCTAGTTTCTTATTGAACATTTTATTTAAAATATTGTTATAAAATTTATAAAATACTTAGCTGTAGTTGTAACAGAACAATGTCTGTTTTAAATAAAGAAAAATTTGTTCGGAGGTTTTTATTATAGTTATGGGGAACCCAAAAAAACCCATCGCCATCCAGTCGATTCCAACTCATAGCAACCCCATAAGATAGAGCAGAACTGCACCACAGGCTATAATCTTTACAGAAGCAGATTGCCACATCTCTCTCCTGGGGAGAACAAATGGACTAAATAAATGTTTAGAGATAGAGCAGAACTTACATAAATTACTCTAGGTCCCTTAAGTGGAATATTAGAGAGCAAATAAAAGTGACGATTATGAGGACTATGCAGTTGCATAGGAATATGCTAAGTATGTGGTACATAGACAGAAAAATCAGAATATAAAATCCTGTACTGTGGACAAAGAACAGAAAAATGAACATATAACTATTCATTGACATCTGAGTCCATTGAGTCCCTGAGTGCAAATACTGAAAGTTTGGACTGTAAATTCAGATAGCTAGGGATATAGCCCATTATCCAAGTGTATTTGGTTCCTAAGTAGCAAGTAGCAAGAGTTTAGTTAATGAGGATACCAGATGTATCTCAGAATCTTCCAAATCTGTTTGGTTCCTTAAATTTGGATAGCCAGAGTCGGGATAGTGAGGGTTACTTCTGGTTTGATATAGTGTCAGAAGGGACGTTTCATTATTTTATGACAAGCTGCCATCATAGAAATTATTGTGTTTAATAAGTATTATCACAAGCAAGGCAAATTCACCAAAACTCTTACTCAAGTGAACTTGTATTCAAATACGTTTGAAACAATTTTGGATTATTTATTGACAAGCACGCACAAACTTTTTTGCCATTGTTTTCATTGACAGACTTCTTGAACTGACTTACGATCTTGATCACGAAGTATGCATTCTGTGTGCAGTGATCCTTCATGCTTTTGTTTCTCCTATTTTAAAAAGCAGGTGTTAGTACCTAGATTTCATTATTTACTGTGCTTGTATAGTATAAATTCCCCTCATGTTTTAAAAATTAGAAAGCAAATAGTTCACTTCTGTATGTTTCTTCATATCTGTCTTTATTGACAGATTTTTTAGTTTATGTGCATGAATTCATAAGAGAACGATTTGGTTGTTGACTGTTCATTTACAAGGTGATTTTGAGGAAAGTAAAGGAGTTGGAACACATTTCAGTTTGTTTTCCTTTTATGGTAAAACAGACTTTGTGTTTCTTTTACTTCTCTTTTAGGAGAAGAGCTTTTAATCCTAGACAAAGAAATTGGACTTTGAGCAGATTTAAATATAACCTTTTGCCTAATTCCAGAACTATATAGTAAATAATTCTGTATAAAAAGAACTCCACCCTCAAGAATCGAGAATTAGCAAGTAACTTTAGTAAAACTTGCTAAAAGTTGTAGCAATATTTTCCTCCTCTTCAGGATTCAGACAAGAATTTAGTTTAAGCAGAAGGCCTCATTCCATGTTCCCTGAGAAGTTGAATTATTTAAGGTTTACTGTATAAGCTTAATGGATACATTGCAACTTTTGTGTTCTGCTAAAGATGCTTTCTGAGTTAACAAATTGTGCGCCTCTAAGTCTGTTTCGTACATATTCTGTGAACTCTGTCACTTGATTAACTTGTAAATGAAAAGAAGAAGGGTGAAAGGTGGAGGGTCTAAGGACACAGAGACCTGCTGTCACTTCATGGGGGGTAAAGTGAAAGACAGCCTTCTCTGTGCTGCCTGCCCCCTGGGGTTTTCTCACTCCTGTGTGTTTTTGTTGTTATTAGGTGAAAATCTAATTCTCTTAGTATTCCTGTCTCACTGGTTTTTTTTCTGATTTTTTTTTCTCCCTTTCCCCACCACTTTGAATTTACAGTCACTCTCCATGTATGCTTCTCTCATTCCCTTCTCCTTTCTCTTTGGGCTTTGCTCTCAAACAGAAATCGCCTTATTTGGAGTAATGCGTGGGATTCGTTTGCTCTTGTGCCTGTTCACTTCTCATCACCCTGTGAGTTCAGCCTCTCTGAACAATTTCAGGGTTATTCTGATTACATATCTACTTGAAACAGATTCTTAAATTCTCATTTTTTAACCTTTATTTCTTTAAACCAAAGCAGTTTATTTATGGCAGAGAATAGAAAACACTTGTTGTAGTTCCCTACTCATAGTAGTTTATGCCCCTATTACAGGAAAACTGAGTTTAAACTAGATATTGCTTATTTTTTATTTTTTTGTTCTTAGAGTAGTTTGTCCAGTCTAGGCCATATTGGAGAATGTTTTTGTTATTATTTGTACCGATCATTTCCCCAGAAACATGTTACCAGATTTTCTCTCAGTGTAACTGCACAGAAAGTCATCTTAAATTCATGGCAACAGTGTTTTGGTATGTAGGCTGTTCCTTTTTAAAAAGATCTGTTTCTGTGTTCTTGAAATTGGTCTATTTCATTTAGTTTTCAGTCTGTCCTTAGATTCTAAACCGCCCCCCCCCCCGTACTTCCTTATGGTTAGGTTTTAGAACCAATAGCCCTGGTAGTGCAGTGGTTAAGCGCTCAGCTGCCAGCTAAAAGGTCAGCAGTTTGAACCCACCAGCTGCTCACAGGAGAAAAGATGTGGCAGTCTGCTTCCATAAAGATTACAGCCTTGGAAACCCCATGGGGCAGTTCTACTCTGTCCTATAGGGTCACTATTAGTCGAAACCGACTTGACAGCAATGGGTTCGGTTTTTTTGGGTTTTAGCTTCTAGAACTGTTTTTATGAGAAGGCAGGCTATCTTCTATAGCAAGGCTTGCTTTAACTATGCTGCAGAAATGAATAATCTTGTGAAAGTCTGTATTGTTAAAATTGGGGACCTCACCAACAGTAGAGGTGGTGGGAGAACCTGTGAGGTTCTGAAACTCCATTTTCACTTTGTGAATTGCTGCTCTTTCAAGGGAACTAAGTTGTTAACTCGATGTTGAATGCTGATTGTTACTTTTTACATTGATTATATCTTGAATCTAATTAAGCTAATCCTGGTTTCTTTGCTGTATTTGCCTTTAATGACCTTTTAGGTGACTTTAGCCCATTTCCATTTTTGGTGTTTAGAATTGGATCTGAGGGATCTTGATGTGAATCCTGACTCAGTCTCTCACTAGCAGTAGGACTCTGAGAAAATTATTTAACCCCTGTAAACATTGATTTTCTCATTTATGAAATGAGATGGTAATACCTACCTCATAGGATTGTTATGAGAGTTAAATGAGATCATATTTACCAAGTGCTGTAAGTAATGCCTGGCACACACTAAATAAGCAATACATGGTAGCTAGTAGATAGAAAAACATTTGGGAAGCTGGAGAGGGTGTTAATGGAAGTGTTCTTGTTGAAGTAACTTGTTTTTCTCCTTTTTATCCTCAGTCACAAAACAATGAAAGCTGATTGATCTAGCTTGATCTGTTCCTCTTAAAGTTCTAT